AGTGGTCTTTAAGAAATTTATTTAAGGAAAACTAAAACTTTGTAAATATCTTTATTTGTACTTTGTAATACATGATCGAGGTCGATCATTCCGGTCAGGTTGGCCGAGCTGTAGTAGAATGTAAGTAGTAGAATACACTGAGTTGTAGTAGAACGTAAGTAGTAGAATACACTGTAAATATGCCAACAATCTGGCAGCGATAGATACAAAATGATACATCAAAAGCAAATGGCAGCGCTTGTTAAAAAGATTCCATTCCGAATAAACGAGCCAACCGAAGCAGTCGTAGTTTATTCTAAAGTAGTTTTATTTTAGGTAGCCGTATGGCTGAAGGGATAGGTGTAGTCACAGTAGGGCGCGATTCGGTACGACATTTTTGAACTCGGTTAAAATTTGCTTAAGCCGTTGAATACCAAGTCTCGGCTTGAATACGCACATGTTCTTCCAATTCGATGTGGTCACCACCACACGAATTGTCTACAGCATCTTGGGCATCATTGAACTGAACCCATCATTCATTTAATAGCTGCAAGTAACTCGCAACGTTTTCTACATCCATAGTAAATGCTTCATCAATATTTTATGACATATACCGTTTAATGGCGCCCTCAATCGCGTGTTTTTATGGAATTCGAAATTTTTCGAATTTGCCTTTCAAGGTTATTCGTAAGTCGCAGCTTTTAAATAGAGTAGTTACAGCGAGCAAATGAAGGACACAAAGCGGCTTTTAGAATTTTGGTAATGTCGAATGGAGGACGAGCGTACAAAACCGCGCACAATCTTAGGTCGCTGAGATATACTCTTTTTATGCCACTCGAACACGAATCGAACTTTTATTCTTGAACTTTGTCAGTTTAATCACTGCAATTGCCGCTTCGTATTTTATACCAATTACAAGCTCTACTTGGCTATATTTTTTTTTTTCACTTTCGCAATGTCTTTTTATAATATATGTAGATTTACAATATATGCGGGCGGGATATACTACCCGGCTCGAAAGGATCAAAAAATGTTGCGTTATTTACTGACAAAAAAACTCGGGTCGAATTCGAAATTAAAAATATGCGGTTTAATTTCATAAAAGTTCACTTTTATTGATTTAGAGGAAAAAATGCCGGGTGGTAGCAAGCGGTAGCAACCAGGCGATAATAGCTTATGAATAACAAATTAAAACGCGCAAAGAACTCAAGTGAGAAATACAAAAGAGTATAAAATGTCAAAGTCGTTAACACTTGTGCACAGTCTGTTGATACTTAACCCTTACATTAATATGTGCGATTAAAATATAAGAGAAAGCATAAATGAACCCAACAAACATTTTTGGAACAGGTTCATAATCGATGCTAAAAAAATGTGTATTATTTAGAAAGCACAAGTTCTTACCTTTAATTTGATATACATATTATATTATGATTTGCTTGTGAGTTTTAATAGTTTAGTGATAGTGTAAGAAGTTTTGCGGATATATCAGCCCTCTTCTTCGGTAACACAGAAAGGAGAATTCTACTTAGTAAGGGTTATAATCCCTAAGTGCGACCTCAGGCCGCCTACGCAGAAAGGTGTTCTCTGCAAAAGGTGTTCAGCCCCCCTTCTTCGGAAACACAGAAAGGAGAACTCTATTTAGTGAGGTGAAG